GCCGCCGCCCCGCCCACGCGCCCGCCGAACCCTCGCCCTGCCCCCGCCGCCGCCCATCCGCGGCGCGCCGCCCGCAGCCCGTGCCCACCGCCGCCCAACCGCGGTCGCCGCGCGGCGCAGCAGTGGCCAGCAGCCGCAACGCCCCAGAGAGGCCCAGCCGCAGCCGCCGCCGCAGCCGCGTGGCGCCCTCGCGCAGCCCCAGGTGCGTCCGCGCTCCAGGCCGCCCAGCAACGCATGGTTGCGTCCAGCGCTCCTCCTCCTTTTCCTCCTCCCTTCCTGCTCCTCCTGCTCCACGCGGAAGCGGTGCGAGGACAATGGAAGGCGCGGGCCGGGACGGGACAGGCCTTGATGCCCGCGGTGGCAATGGGCATGAACCCCAGCATGCCTGCTGCACAAAGGGGCGGGATCCGTCCGTCTCCCAATCATGATCGTTATCATCCCCGTCATCGTCATGAGTATCATCATCAACACCAGCAGCTTCGTCATGATCATCATCAACACCACCATGACCATCATAATCATCATCAGCATCATCATCATCATCATCATCATCATCATCATCAGCATCATCATCACCACCATCATCATCATCATCGTCATTAGCATACTCATCATCCTCATCCTCATTTGCATCGCCACCATCCTGAATCATCGGCATCCGCATCCTCATCCTCATCTGCGTTATCATCCTCTTCCGAATCATCATCCCATTCCTCATGATCAGAATCATCATCCTCATCATCAATACCAACATCATCATTATCGTGAGCATCAAAATCATCAACATCATCATCCTGAGCATGATCCGCATCATCAACATCATCATCATCAGCATCAGCATCATCATCATCATCGTCATCATCAGCACCGTCATCATTACCATTATCAGTATCATCATCATGATCATGATCCTCATCAGTGTCATAATCATCATCCTCATCAGTGTCAGCATCGTCTTCGTCATCATACTCGTCATCAGCATCTTCATCACCACCATCAGTATCATCCTCATCCTCATCCTCGTCCTCTGCATCATCATCATCATCATCATCATCATCATCATCATCATCATCATCATCATCATCATCATCCTCATTGTCAGCAACATCACCACCATGATTATTTTCGAACGTGTGAGTCTGAGCCAAGAGAGGAGAACGGAAAAAGGTGTTGGTTTGGACTCGACGCCGTCGGAGTAATCACAAGAACCCATCCTCGGGTCGTGGGGGACACGCATCGTATTTGGGCAACCACGTGCACCCTCTGGCGAAAAAAAACAAATGACTTAACACAACACACAGGACCTGCTCGTGGCCCCTGAGTGATCCCGATGGTCCACGACAACGCGCTGCTCCAGCGCAGCCGCGCCTGCTTGTCCAAGAGCGCCGCCCTCTGCGATTCTCCGAGCCTGGCGCGGCCTGCTCGGCTTCCGAAGGCTTCTGGGGATCTCGTCGTGCGCGGCCTGGGGCAGGGAGACCAGCGAATTCCATAATTGGGAGGCCACATGCGAGCCCTGCCCCACCACTCCACGACTCCTGAGGGGGGAACCGGGGCCCACTTCGTTCGGGACCTCCCACTCGGGCGGCTGGCTAAGATGGCGCTCAGGCCGAATGCTGGAAAGCATTGGCCTAAAGCAGGGAGCGTTTGGCCTGCATCACAGAATTCTTCAACGCATGTTGGCTGCGCAAACAGACGCCGAGATGCTGGCACAAGGCAATGGTGACCGCAATACATAAGAAGGGCAACACATAATTACCAGAGAACTACCGGCCAATAAGCTAGCTGAGCCTCGGGTACAACATCTTCGCGGCTCTCGTGAAGCAACGTTTGGTGGACGGCGGAGCAGAAGGCCACTTGTTCAGGTTCCAGTTCGGATTCCGCACGGGGAGGAGCGCACAAGACGCGATCTGCATCCTGAGGCGCCACGTCGAGGCCGCGTGGGCATCGCACCAGGGGAACTCGTACATCCTCGCCCTGGACTAGAAGCAGGCGTTCGACTCCGTGAATGTAGAGACCATGGTGACCGCCTTGGAGAGATTCGGATTGCCGAAGTAAGTGAGAAGCGCCATTGCTGACATCTACACCATCGAACGTTTCAGCTCATAGACAGAAAATTTCTTTCGGCCGAGCGCAGCCAAAAATCCGGAATATCGCTCCTGTAGAGGGACTTGCCCGACTTAAGCGCACTGGTCGGGGCCCCTGGTCAGCTCGCCGTCGGACACGTCGTCTGCCGCGGAGCCACAGGCACCTCGTCGAGGTCAACGCCGCACGGTCGGTGCGCACGTGGCCTCGGCGCTCTGGATCGTGCTGTGCGCCTCGGCGATCACCCTCTGGGCTCGTCGACTGTGCCCAGGCAAACGCTCTGAACGACGACGCGACTGGAAAGTACATTGCAACACTTCGAGTCGCGGATCGTGCCGAGTGGAAGATTCGAGTCGGAACGCGCCGCATCGTCCACCCAATCGCGATGGCGGACTGCACCCGACTGCGAGCGAGTCCACGTGAAAAACTACTGCGATGCAGTATGAACTTGAACCAGCAGCCCTTGCTGGGTCGCCAGCGTCCGGCCGAGGGAGATCTCGGTGTGGTTGTGTGTGTGTGTGCGTGCGTGCGTGCGTGCGTGCGCGCGCGCGTGCGTGCGCGCGTGCCTGCGTGCGCGTCCGCGTGCGCGCGTGTGTGTGTGTGTATCTGTGTGTAGGTGTCTGTGTGTCTGTGTGTCTGTGTCTGTGTGTCAGTGCGTATGCGTGTAAGTGTAAGTGTGTGTGTATGTGTGTGTGTTTGTGTTTGTTTGTGTGTGTGTTTGGGCCGCTGTGGTGGCTGGACGACGAAGCATACGAGGAGGAAGAGGGATGGAGGGACGGATGAGGACGAACGGGGGAAGGGAGTGAAGAGGAGGGGGGGAGGCTGAGGGAGTGAGGAGGGGGGACGGAGCAAGACCGAAGGAGGAGGGGGGAGACAGGATGGCAGCAAGAATACACTCATTGTCATCGTCGTTGCCGTGATCGCCACCCCCCTCGCAGCTGTCGCCGATGCCGCCACGATGGCCGCCGCCGTGCATTCTTATACTTTCCCGACCTGCTCCTGCCTCCCTCCCTCCCTCCCTTCAACCCTCCCTCCCTCTCGTTTCCATCTCTCTTTCCATCCCTCCCTCCTTGCCTCTCTCCCTCCCTCCCTCCACTCCCCGCTTCCATCCCTCTCTCATCGTCCGCCTCCGCCTCCTCGTAAGCATCGTTGCCGCTATATTCGCGGTTCCCATCGTCGACGCCACCCATCGCCGCCACCATCGCCGTCGTCTCCGATGCCGTCGTCGCAGCCTTCGCCGCCGCAGTCGTCGTGTCATTACAGGCTCCTTCCACAGTGGGGAGCGCCAGGGGGGGTGGCCCCCTATCAGAAGGCATGAGTTTTCTCAAAGGCAGGGGGCTTCCTAAAAGAAAAGCCTGGCGGCTCCCAGAAAGGCCGCTGCTCCTCCTCCTCCTCCTCCTCCTCCTCCCAACCTCTCTTTCCTGGCCCTCCGTCGCCCCCGCTCCTCCATCCGCCGGCAACTCGCACGCAGGTCCGCCAGTATCGCACACACTGGAAGGAATCTGGCGCACACCCAAACGATCGGCTACACGCAGGAGTCTTGTCTTTGGAGAATCAGGAGGAGGAGGAGGAGGAGGAGGAGGAGGAGGAGGAGGAGGAATGGGAGGGGGCCGCGATGATCTACACAGCTCGCCTCGCCAAGCAAACGTGCTGGCAAGAATCGTGTTCGTCGCAGGGCTGTCCTACGAACGTTGCCGAAACGCCAATCGAAGAGAACGGCATCGGGCCTCGATCCGCTACAGTGGAGGCCGGACCACAAGAAACCTTCCACAAGAATCCAAACCCTGAAACCCCAGGGCATCCACTGAACTTTGGTGTGTGAGCGTCACGCCTTCCACAGCAAACCCATCGAAGCCCACGAAACCAAGGGCACCCTGAAGGCAAGCAGGGTGCTTCTTGGCATGGGCCCCCACTGCACACGCAGGAGCGACCCTGGGTAAGAGTGGCCTCTGGCGCAGGTGGAGAATGAGGAGGAGGAGGAGGATCAAGAGGAGGAGGAGGAGGAGGTGGAGGAGGAGGAAAAGGAGGAGAACGAAGAGGAGAAGGAGCAGGAGCAGGAGGAGGAGCAGTAGGACCCCCTCCCCCTCCTACTGATGGTGGTGGCGGTGGAAAGCAGGCCCACCACAGGACGCTGCTTGTATATCGCATCGCGCTCGGCGAGCTCGGGGGACCTCCGTGGGCCCAGGCCAAAAAACGCCACTGCGGCGGAAGGGTCGGCCTCTTGCGTGCAGTCGACACTAACTGCGCCTCCTCGCCGCCGTGGCCTCCGCCGCGGCCGCCGCCGCAGGGGCCCAGGGACACACCAAGAAATCCACATACACATCCCAGGACTCGCCATACACACATATACATATGCACACATCTATATATATATATGTGTGTATGTGTATATATATATACACATATAGATGTATGTACAATTATACACACATGCATATATATATACTTTCTCTGGGTTTTCGTCTCCCCCCCATTTCCCATCTTTCTTCCCCATCTTTCTTCCCCTATCTCCCTGGGAACCGATGTTGAGTTGTGCATGTGTTCTTTTTCCCCCTCCTGAGCCGTGGCCGCCGCCGTCGCCAGCGCCGTGGCCGCCGCCGCCCCCCCCCGCGCGCACAAAGTGCCCGAGGCGCCGCCGCCGCCGTGCCGCCGCCGTGCCGCGGTGCGCGCGGCGCGGGGCGCGCCGAGGAAGTACAGCTGCGGGCTCTCCACGGACGGCCACGCCGCCGCCGCGGCGAGCGCCGCGCCCGTCGCGTAGAGCCCTCCTGGCGCCGCCGCCGCCGGCATCGTCGCCGCAGGCAATACTTCGGTCCATATCGAACTGCGTACGTGTGGCGTTTCGGGCTCCCCCCCCCACAAAAGCCCGAGGCGCACCGAAAATGCCTAACTTTGCCCCCGGGAGGCTCGACTGTTTTGATCCATATCCAGTGCGCCTCGGCCTTCTGGCGCCCCTTCCAAGAGGAGTCCAAGACGCAAGGGAAATGGACATAAATCTAGGTCGGGCATGTCCTCCTACAGACGGACTTGGGATGAAAAAGTGAACAAACTTATCCCAGCAAACCAACCTAACAACGATGTGTATAAGCATATCTGGAAGCATTCCCCTTAAGATTCAGGTGAGAATCCAGTTGTAGAATTCTGCTGTTCTCGCAGTCGCAGTCGCATTCGCAATGACAGTCGCAGTGGCAACGGCCTTAGGACCCAATGGAATCCTAAGGATTCCTAGGGATTCCTAAGGCATCCTTAGGCATCCTTAGGAATCCATAGGAATTCTTAGGACACCTTAGGAATACTTAGGAATTCTGATTCCTAGGGATTCCTATGGATTTCTAAGGATTCCTGAGGAATCCGAAGGATTCCTAAGGATTCCTGACTGAGGATGCTTAACTATGCCTACGGATTCCTAATGATGCCTACGGATTCCTAAGGATTCCGATGGATGCCAAAGGATTCCTATGGATTCCTACGGATGCCCCAGCCTGCCTCAGTTTCAGCCTCAGCCTCAGCCTGCCTCGGCTTGCCTCAGCCTCAGCCTCAGCCCTGCCTCAGCCTCAGCCTCAGCCTGCCTCGGCCTCAGCCTGCGTCAGCCTCAGCCTCAGCCTGCCTCAGCCTCAGCCTGCCTCAGCCTCAGCCTCAGCCTCAGCCTCAGCCTCAGCCTGCCTCGGCTTGCCTCAGCCTCAGCCTCAGCCTGCCTCGGCCTCAGCCTGCCTCGGCCTCAGCCTGCCTCAGCCTCCCCTCCTCCCCCCCCTCCCCCCCCCCATTCAGCCTCACCTTGTCTCAGCTTCGGCCTGCCTCGGCCTCATCCTCAGCCTCAGCCTCAGTCTCAGCCTCAGCCTGTCTCGGCCTGAGCCTGCCTCGGCCTCAGCCTCAGCCTGCCTCAGCCTCAGCCTGCCTCAGCCTCAGCCTCAGCCTGTCTCAGCCTCAGCCTGCCTCAGCATCAGCCTCAGCTCAGCCTCAGCCTGCCTCCTGCCTCGGCCTCAGCCTCAGCCTGCCTCGGCCTCAGCCTCAGCCTCAGCCTGCCTCAGCCTCAGCCTCAGCCCTCAGCCTCAGCCTCAGCCTCAGTCTCAGGCAGCATCAGCCTCAGCATCAGCCTCAGCTTCAGCCTGCCTCGGCCTCAGCCTCAGCCTGCCTCGGCCTCAGCCTCAGCCTGCCTCAGCCTCAGCCTCAGCCTGCCTCAGCCTCAGCCTGCATCAGCCTCAGCCTCAGCCTCCCTCAGCCTCAGCCTGCCTCAGCCACAGCCTCAGCCTCAGCCTCCGCCTGCCTAAGCTTCAGCCTCAGCCTCAGCCTGCCTTGGCTTGCCTCAGCCTCGGCCTCAGCCTGCCTCGGCCTCAGCCTCAGCCTCAGCCTCAGCCTGCCTCAGCGTCAGCGTCAGCCTCAGCGTGCCTCGGCCTCAGCCTCAGCCTCAGCCTGCCTCAGCCTCAGTCTCAGCCTGCCTCAGCCTCAGCCTGCCTCAGCCTCAGCCTCAGCCTGCCTCGGCCTCAGCCTGCGTTAGCCTCAGCCTCAGCCTGCCTCAGCCTCAGCTTGCCTCAGCCTGAGCCTCAGCCTGCCTCGGCGCGCCTCAGCCTCAGCCTCAGCCTGCCTCGGCCTCAGCCTGCCTCGGCTTTAGCCTGCCTCAGCTCGGGCATTCAAAATATGGCACAGGACTGGTGTTCTGGGAACGCGAAGATCACGAAGTGGCCCACAGTTGGCCCGGGGCAATCAAAATATGGTACAGGAATTGCGTTTTGGGAACACGAAGAACACGAAGTGGCCTACAGTTGGCCCGCGGCATTCAAAATGTGGCCTGGGAAGTGTGTTCTGGGAACACGAAGAACACGAAATGGCCTACAGGTGGCTCCGGGCACTCAAAATGTGGCCTGGGAATGGTTTTCTGGGAAAACGAAGAACACGAAGTGGCCTACAGGTGGCTCCGGGTATTCAAAATGTGGCCTGGGAATGGTGTTCTGGGAAAACGAAGAACACGAAGTGGCCTACAATTGGCTCCGGGCATTCAACATGTGGCCTGGGAGTGGTGTTCTGTTGGATCCGGGCAGTCAAAATGTGGCTCCTGGCAATGCAAGGGAGTCCCCGGTTTTCCCTGGCATCATCCCCCGGATCCTGCCCAAACCCCCCTGGGGAATCAGGATGCTCTCTTTTGACCCTACTAGAAACCTATCAGTCTTCGCTGTTAGGTAAAAGCACTCCAAACTGGTCAAGATAGCAAATAAATGGTCCCGACACTATTTTCTGACTAATTTTGAACTTCCCATCTGTACAAGGAGATGCCCGACTGAAACGGAAATCTTGTCCGCAATTTGAGCAAGGACCGACCGTCCCGGCATTCCTCCAAACCTACCACAAAATGTTCTCAGAACCCCCCCAAAAAACAAAAACACGGCTCTTAGAGCACAAACCCGACGTGTGAAAACAAGACAGCCCCAGCCAGACATGCTCTAAAAACCTGTCGTGGCAACCACGAGAGGCTCGTAGAACATTGTTTCGTAGGCCGGGACGCTTCGCCACTGCTTCACAGTCGCCGCCGCCTTCGCCGCCGCCAGCCGCTTCTTCGGCGGCGGCGGCGGCGGCAGCGAGCCCGGCGGCGGGGGCCGCCGCGGACGCCGCCCTCCGCGGTGCCCCGCGCGCCTGCCCTCCTGCAGCGGCTCCTCCCGCCGGCGGCCCGTGCCTCCGCCGAGGCACAGACGCCCTGCGCGGCCAGAGCTGCAGGATCCGCCGCAGTCGGCGGTGGCCAGACCTCCCTTTCGTAAAACCTTCTCCTCCTCCTCCTCCTCCTCCTCCTCCTCCTCCTCCTCCGCCTTCTCCTCCTCCTCCTCCGCCTCCTCCTCCTCCTCCTCCTGGGACCGCAACCGACGGACCCGGACCCGCAAACATGACGGCCGCGACGCCCTCTCGCGGAGCGAAGACGGCCAGGTCGCTAATCGACGTGTCAGGGTAGGGAGGTCTGTCCACCACCGACACAAAGGTGGAGGGCGCAGGATTATGCCTGGTGAGCGTTTCCTTCTTCACTGATCTCCCGATCGGCGCGGGCCCTCGCATCCCCCCCTCCCGCCGCCCCCCCCGTGGAGTAGATCATGGCTGTTCCTGGCTCCTGTTACGAGCAGGCGGAGCCCCTCCCCCACAGGACGCACTGCTGCAACCAGTCGCACTAAGAAGAGGTCTGCAGCCAGACCCCCCCCCCTCCCCCCCTTCCGCCCAATGTCGAAACGCCGAATAAGAAAACGCCCGCGAAGATGGACGGCGCAGGATTTGGGGCGTGCAAGACATTCTGGTGCGCGAGTGTATTGCTGGGTTTCCGCGCGCAATGCGTCAGTTGCAATACGATGCCATACAATGCTCTGAGGCCGTATACTTGCAATACGGTTGCCCCAAATCTATCGCACCACACCCCTTCAGCTGGATTTCCTGTGTTTGGAGGCCTGGAAATGGGCACCAACACCAGCACAGGGAGTGGCCTCCACATGGGGAAGACGATCCTAGATTTCGGTGTTGGTGGTAATATTTCGGTCACCTTAGAAGCCGGAGTATTACCACCATCGCCGAGATCGGGATCGTCTTCCCTCGGTGGAGGCACACCGCCGATCTTGGTGCTGGTGTCAACCTCTAGGCCTTCGATTTGTGGTGGCCACGGGGATAGAGATGCAGGATCTGTCACCAAGGGTGGAGGGCGCAACACTCTGCCTCCTCCGCCGTGCCCCGCTTCCCCCCCCCTGGCGCCTCGCGGCTTCTCTCTATGGGCCCTGCGGCGGAGCCCCCCGGCGTCGACCGCGTCGGGAGCCCCCGGCTCCTGGCCTCCAGACGTTCCACAAACATCTGGCCCCCAGGAAGTCCCGGCCTCTCCCCCCGGGAGGTCGCGAGGAGGATGAGGCCTTCGGTGGAGCTCCCTGTGGGGTCATGGATCGTGTGAGGGTTGTGCCGAGATGGCGGTGGAGCCGCACGCGAACGCAGCCGCCGGGGCCTTCGGTGGGGCTGGGCTCCTCATGGGGCCACGAAGCGTGTGAGGTGTGTGCCCACATAGGGGCGGGGAGGAGGGAGGAGCGGGAGGAGGAAGGAAGGAGGAGGGAGAACGCGAGGCACTGTCTAGTCAGAACGAGGAACCAGCACCACAGGACGGCTGAGGAAAAATTGAGAAACGTCTGGGGGGGACAGAAGCAAGCAAACCGCCCGAGACATCCGCACAATCCAGGCGCGAATCCGGAGGAGTGGAGTCACCCTCGGTGGCTCCCCAAGTGGGGTGCCCAGGTGCCACGCTTTTGCTGCATCGCGGTGGGCGGTGGGCCACAAAAGGAAAACAAAAACCTTCTCCTCCTCCTCCTCCTCCTCCTCCTCCTCCTCCTCCTCCTCCTCCTCCTCCTCCTCCTCCCTCCTCCCACTCCTCCTCCCCCCCCAATCTGGGGGCGAATCTGGAGATGTGTTCACCCCTGGCGGCTCCCATGTGGGGTGCCCGCATGCCACGCCTGCTGCATCGCGGTCAGCAAAAGATCGCCAGCACTATAAATCTGATGAAGCAGCCGGAGCAAGGAGCAGTGAGCCGGAGCGATCGACTCTGAATGCGCGTGTGTGAGAAGGCATTAGAGGCGATCTCCCTGATGGGGTCTGAGTGGGTCTGAGTCTGAGCAAGTCTGTGTGAGGAGGGACGTGGCTGAGTCTGCAGGAGGAAGCAGGAAAATGTGAGCGAAACCTGTGAAGAACAGAGTGATTCTGTGATGGGCACTCAGATGGGCCTGAATGACCTGCGTTAGAGTAGTTGAACCATCTGAGCACGAGGAAGAGCAAAAGGAGGAGAAGGAGCAGGAGCAAAGTGTTCCGGAAGCGTCCACGTCCATATGGGTTGGGGATCTTCTGACCCGGGTCAATCCAGACCCAGGTCAGTCAGGCCTTGCAGGATCCTGCAAGACCCTGCACCCAAACCCGGGTCAATGCGAAAGATCCTGCAAAATCCTGTTGGATCCTGCACCCAAGCCAGGGTCAGTACGGTCCTGGCCCTGCAAGATCCTGCAAGGACCGGCGCTCTAGCTGACCCCGTTTGCATAGACCCCCGCCTCTTGAACCCCGCATGGGGAACATCGTCGGAGATCCGGGACCACTTCCTCCCCCCATCCCCCCGCGGCAAAAAACTGCGGTCTCCCGACACGAGGATCGTGTGGTAGCGCCCGAACACCACGTCCGCCGCCCAGCTGGCCGCGACGGCGAGCACGGTGCACATGGTCCACATGGTGGCCTGGCTCGGACGCGGCCGCCGTCGTCGCGGCCGCCGTCGACGTTCTCGCCGTCGCCGCGGGCGCGGCGTGGAGGATGAGAAGTGCGAATGGGTAGACGACGAGGTTGACGGCAGCGCCATCGCCGTCGAGGGCAGCGTCGACGGCAGACGACGCTGTCGCCGAGCCGTTTGACGTCCCGATGCTTCTCGCGGATGCGATTATGTTTGCTCAGTCCTGGTGATATTCCCTCGACTTCAGCATCCTGGGAACCTGGTGTTCGGGCCCTGGAAACAAACGTGAGTGGGCCCCGAGTCCCTCCTCCTCCTGCTCCCTCTCCTCTTCCTCCTCCTCCTCCTCCTCCTCCTCCTCCTCCTCCTCCTCCTCCATTCCTTTTCGTTATGAATAGCTTCTCCCTGTCGCACCCCGCAGCCAAATTCTACGGCGGGCAGGCGTTTCGCCTGAGACTTCCTCTCCATGTGACTAAAGCTTAAAATCAGAAAACAGTTTCACAGATGGAGGGCGGGTTGTTTTCAAAATGTGGCTCTCGCCTGAGCGCCGCGCGCATTCGTTTAAATGAATACAAGCATCTCGCAAATTCAAGGAAGGTCGTTTTCAAAAACGTGGCTCCCGCCTTACTGCCGCACACGCTCGTGCTTTCATGGATTGAAGCCGGGTCGTTTTCGAAATGTGGCTCTCCTGGGCGCCGTACGATTTTTGCAAGAATTTCACGCATTGGGGGCGGTTGGTTTTCAGCATGTGGCTCTCGCCTTCGCGCCGCGCACATTCGTTTTAAGCATTTGCAAGAGTTTCACAGATAGGGCGGGTCGTTTTCGAAATGTGGCTCTCCCCGTAGCGCCGCACGAATTCGTCGTTAGAACTTTGCAAGGATTCCACGATGCGGCTCTCGCCTTTGCGCCGCGCACATTCGTTTTGCAATATTTGCAAGGAGTTTGACGGATTAAGGGCGGTTCCTTTTCAAACTGTGGCTCTCGCCTTAGCGCCGCGCACATTCGCTTAGACAATTTACAAGAGGTTCAACATTTTCCCATGAACAACGTGCCAGAAATTGCGTTTTGGAAGGATTCACTGTCGATTCGCTGTTGAAATCCCCAAATTGTGATTCTGGCACGATTCCAGATCGCCAAGACGCAGCAGTCAGGTTGATCCGTGAAATCCCGAGAGCAATGTTTTGGCATGCTTCAAAGTCTTCAAACGGTCGTCTTTCAACGAAGCAGCTCCCTCACTGGCAATGAACCGTTGTAGGGACCTATGGAGAGGAAGCTTGGGGGAGAGTTGATTCCAATATCGTTGGTGCCTCTTGGATTTGCACTGGTCCTCCTCCTCCTCTTCCCCCTCCTCCTCCTCCTCTTCTTCCTCCTCCTCACGCCCTCCTGTCGTGTCGTGAGCCGGTCGCACCAAATCAGTCCGGTGCCCGCGCCCGCGGGCCTGGGGCAATCGCATGGGTGGGCCAAGTGTTAGGCTTGGGGTGCCTCCTACAGGCCGGCTTTAGAAGAAAAAATAAATCATAGTCCCAACAAAAAACAAAATAGTCAAAAATGGCGGAGAAGTCATCCCCTGACTATTCTTTAAACTATCTTTGAATGTGCCCCCTGTAGGACAGCATGCCCGACTTAAGCCAAGTGGGTTGGAGCCAGCAAGTGCAACACCTACGCCCCCGCTATGACAGATCCGCTGGCGCCTTTCTGGGGCCATCAGGCTGCGAGGACCCTCTTATTTCCGCTTTATTTCCGCGCGAGGCCTTAGTGGGCCCTGGAAACGACAAGGCCGTTTTTTAACCGGTTCCGCTTTGCCGTTTTTGTTGCGGGTTCCGACGCCGTTTTTTTACCGGTTCCGGCTCTGGTTCCAATCATGGAGCCGTTTTTTGTCGTTTCCGGTCGCCGTTTTTTTGCCGTTTCCATTTTCAAATGACATCTTTTTGGAAACGGTGAAAAAACGGCCCTGCCGTTTCCGGGGCCCACAAAGCGCGAGGCCCCTCTTGCCCGCCCCAGGGACACGGGACCTGAATATCTGGGGAAAGGGCTGGGACGCCTGGAACTGCAGCAGCTTCGCGCCCAGAAGTCACAGACCATGCGACTGTCCTCACGCTCGCGCTCCCCATGCCATAGCACATGGCGAATTGCCTTGGAGTCGCGGTCCCGCACCCCAACTCATTCGCAACTTACCTCGGATTCGCCCGTCCTTGGACGGCGAATGCCCCAACTTCTGGCGACCCCTCGCTATGCAGCAAGCGTGGCCACCCCTGACGGCCGCGCCTCCTACATAGCGATGCGCATGGGGCCCTGCATGGAAAGAATCATCAAACCCATCATACGAGCAACCTGCCTGAGACGTCCACACAGCATGAGTGCGAACGAGCAGCTGTCCCCACCTCTGGCGGTGCCTCCTTGGAGCGCCCAAGTGCCACGCCTGCTGCATCGCGATGAGCATGGAGTTCCGCCACGAATCAAATCCAATCTGCCAAGCAGACACACCGCTTGACAGTGCCCACAAACAGGGCGCGAACGGACAAATGTTCCAACTTTGGGCGATTCCACACTGGTGTGTTAAAGCACCGCGACCATTTGATTGCGATGAGCACTTGGCTTTGACTGTCTGGGAGATGTGTGTATCAGTCTGGATACGATTTGAGTGAGTCTTACTATGGGTGAGTACGAACTCGAATGCGTCTGAGTGTGAGTGGGCCTGGGCGCGAGTGCATTTCAGCGTTAGGGGGTCTAGGAGTGAATGATTTTGCTGTGATGCGCCTGAGAATGAGTGCGTGTGAAAGCGAGTGCATCTGCGTATGAATGTTCATAATCTGATGGGGGAGACAAAGGGGAGAAAGAAGCGGGAATGATGGAAGACGTGGAGGCACCAAAGATCTCAATGGCACGTCCTGCTGTGGGTGATCGGCCGTGATTGCTTGGATGTGTGCGACCGAAGCCGAATGGACGACGGACATGACAGCGACAATGGCGGCGGCGGCTACGACGAGAGACGGCGGCGACGCCAACTCACAGACAGACAAGCGGCGAGCGGGCCCTGGACCCTTTCCTTCCTGCACGTCGTACACCTTGCCCTCTCTTCCCCCGTAGTCCCACCAGCCCTCTGGGCGTCGGTGGTTTAGAGCGTTTCCTCTTCCACCCCTCCTTCTTCCCCTTCGGGGAGGGGTTTACCCCTCCCCCTACCCCCTCCCCACTGACCTGGACAGGGGGGGCCGCGATCGGTCAGAGCGTCCAAAACGGCCTCGGCGAGGAAGCCAAAATCATTGATTGTACTATGGTTTGGGCCCCATTTTGGCCTTCTGAGGGGGGGGCTCTAATTTAGGACCCCCCCTTCTTTGATCGATTTCCTCCACGATGGCCGCAAGAGGCCCCCAGGATGCCCCAAGAGGCCGCAGGATGGCCCCAAGATGGCCCCAAGAGGCCCCCCAAGAGGCCCCCAGGAGGCCCCCAAGAGACCCCCAAGAGGCCCCAAGAGACCCCCCAGAGGCACCCAAGGCGCTCCCAGAGGCCCCAAGATGGCCCTAAGAGGCCCCAAGAGGCCCCCAGGAGGCCCCAAAGAGGATTCCGAACGGCCCACAGAGGCCCCCCCGAGGCACCCAAGACGCCGAAAAGCCCCTCAGGACGACCCTCTACTCGCCTGGGCGTCGTTTCTGGACGGGCTGGTGGGGATACGCGAAGCGTCTAGAATTCCTTTCTCCCTACCGTCATCGGTCTGACCTAAGGGGAGCAACCGTCATCGGTACGATACATCAGGAACGCAGCCCCTTATTTCTCCAGGGAGTAACGCATAAGGAACGATAACTAATCAATAACGTATCGGGGATGATGAATAACGCATGCAAGCCTAAGGAACGACGGAGCCCCTTTTGAAAAGTAAGTGTTCCTTATTCAAGCCGCCCACTGTATGCCTGCGACACCTCCCTATTCCTGCGACCTCTCCCTTCCTGCGCGTCACCGTCACGGTCGCCGTCGCCGACAACGTCGCCGTTGCCGTCGCCGCCACCGTCGCCGTCGCCGTCGCCGTCGCCGCCGCCGCCGCCGTCATCGTCGTGATCGTCGTCATCGTCGTCTTCGTCGTACTCGCCAATCGCCGTCGGTGTCGCCGTCGCCGCCGTGGCCGTCGCCGTCGCCTTCGCTGTCCCCGTCGCCGTCGCCGTCGCCGTCGCCGTCGCCGCCGCCGTCGTCGTTGTCGTCGCCGTCGCCGTCGCTGCCCGACGGCGCCTGCGCCAGCGCCGTCGCTCGCCGTCGCCGTTTGGAGGGGGGCAATCCACCAATTCGAACCCGCCCGCCTGCAACCCAAGGGGGGACCCGTAAACTTCATCGCGTCGTCGTTGTCGCCGTCGCCGTCGCCGTCGCCGCCGTCGCCGTCGTCGTCGCCGTCGCCGTCGCCGTCGCCGTCGCCGTCGCCGTCGCCGAAGCCGTCGCCGTCGTTATCGTCGTCGTCGTCGTCGTCGGCGGTGGCAACGTCGTCGTCGTCGTCGCAAAAGTCGTCGTCGTCGTCGATTTCGTCGTCGTCGTCGTCGGCGGTTGCAGCGTGGTCGTCGCCGTCGTCGTCGCCGTCGTCGTCGTCGTCGTGTCGTCGTCGTCGTCGCGTCGTCGTCGTCGTCGTCATCGCTTCCCGACGGCGCCAGCGCCAGCGTCAAGGGGGGCCCCCCCCCCATTTCGAATCCCCCCACCTTGCAACTCGGCGGGGGGGCGCCATCCCGTGTGCGTCGTCGCCGTCGCCGTCGCCGCCGCCACCCGCCGCCGTCGCCGTCGCCGTCGCCGTCGCCGTCGCCGTCGCCGCGGCCGTCGCCGTCGTCGTTGCCGTCTCCGTCGCCGTCGCCGTCACCGTTGCTGTTGCCGTCGCCGCCGCCGCCGCCGCCGCCGTCGCCGTCGCCGTCGTCGTCTTCGTCGTCATCGCCGCCGTCGTCGTTTTCGTCGTCGTCGTCGACATCGTCGTCGCGCTGGAACCGTCGCCGTCGCAGTCGCCGTCGCCGTCGTACTCGTTGCCGTCGCAGTCGCCATCGCCGTCGTCGTCGCCGCCGCCGCCGTCGTAGTCGCCGTCGCCGTCCCCGTCGCCGTCGCCGTCTTCGCCGCCGCCGCCGCTGCTGCCGTCGTCGTCGTCGTCGTCGTCGTCGCAGTCGTCGTCGTCGTCGTCGTCGTCGTCGTCGTCGTCGTCGTCGTCGTCGTCGTCGTCGTCGTCGACGTCGTCGACGTCGTCGTCGTCGTCGTCGTCGTCGAGGTCGTCGTCGTCGTGGCCGTCGTCGCTTCAACAAGGCGTGGGGGGCAACGAAAGGGGTGGAGTGGCATAGGGGGGATGCATCGACCTGGAATCGGCGAAACACCGCCGATTGATCTGCGATATGCCTCCGATGGTGGCTCCGCACCTTCCCGGGCAGGATTGGGCTATCGGGTCCCTATCGGCGATCGATGGGCGATTGGGGGTCGATGCGTCCCCCTCTTCTGCTTATGCCCTCTATCAGTGCCCCTGACGACGGCGCCCGGTCGTCGCTGCCCATCGACGCCGGCGCCGGCGCCGTCGTCGGTTGCTAGGGGGGGGGACCATCCTGTTTCGAACCCTTCCCCCTAGCAACTCAATGGGGGAGGGCCTCCCCCATTCGAACCACCACCGCAACCGGAGGGGAGGCCCACCCCCCCTCCCCAGGGCCAAATCGCGTCACCCCCCTTGGAGAGAGGGGGGTGCCCTGGTTCGAACCCCCCCGTCCCTTGCTTGGACAGAGAGTGGGCCCCCCGCCTCCGGGGTCGAACCCCCTCCCCCGCTCTCGCAACTCGGGGAGGGGGAGGCTCCCCTGGTTCTGGCTCATCCCCCCGCCCCCCCCCCACCCCAACCTGGGCGCGAAAGGGCCAATGTCCCCCACCCTTGGCGTCTCCTTCTTAGGGTGCTCGAGTGCCCCGCCTCTTACCTCGCGATGAGCATGGGGCTCCGAAGAGAGGGAAGCCCAGCAAACCGTTCAAGCGGACCGCATGAAACATCCCCAAGGTCTGGGTGTTAACGGGCAAATATCACCACCCCTGGCGGCTCCTCCTTGAGGCTCAACTGCCACCCCTGCTACATCTCGGTGAGCATGGGGCTCTGACAAGAAAGAAGTTACATCAAATCAACAGGCAACCTGCCTGCATCCGCAGAATCTGGGAGCGAACGGGCAAAAGTCTCCAGCCCTGGCGGCTGCTGCTTGACGTGGTCAAATGCCACGCCTGCTGCATCGCGATGCGCATGCGACTCTGCTTTGACTGCATGAGTCATGTGCACATGGGATATGACAATTACTTGAGTGAGTAGAAATACAGGCCTGTCTGAATATAAGTCGGTCTGGGTGGAACTGAGTCTGGGTATCGCTTAATCTGAGTGTGAGTGAGTCTGAGTATGAGCGTGTCTGAATGTCAGTGAGTCTGAGTGTGAGTGCATCAGAGCGTGAATGCGAGTGAGTATGAACGATATGAATGTGAAGGGGGAGACGGGAGGTTCCGACATGGAGGCGTTCCAGTAATAGCAACAACCGCATGCTCAGGATATGGGGCACAATGCGAACGCCATGCTTGAGGCATGGGGCCATGGGGCGCAATGCGCGTTTCCCTCACAGGGGCCCTCTTGGGGCCATCTCGAGCGCTCTTGGGGGCCTCTCGCGCCGCTTGAGACGCTTCGTGTGCTGTCTGAGGCCCCCCAGTGCGGTCTCGAACCGCCCTCGGCCGCCGGATCGCCCTCCGGGACGATCTTGGGCCCCCCAGAGCGCGGGCCCAGCCCCCGCGCCCCGCGGGGGGGCAATTCGGTGCGGGGGCGGCGGGTCCTGGGGCCCAGACGCCCGTCACACGCATGTGTCTGCAGATGATCTCCTGGAGAGGGGCCCCAAGATGAGCTCCCGTGCTGGAGTTTGGAGACGTCTCCAACGCGACGCAGAGCACAGCAACACCATAGGGCCACCAGCACCTGCCTGCGCCCCTTGACCGTGGTTGTGTCGGTGTCGGCCGTCCTGGTTCTCAGTGGGCATGGGTGTGCTTTGTTCACAATGGAGGGTCCAGGAATCTGGGAGCAGAATAGCTCCGCCCTGGTCATTTCGGCGCGCAAACTCCCATGTTCGCCAAGTTGTATGTACGCGTCGACCTAATATTTTCTCAGGCACGGCAGACTTCTCGACGTTATACGAGGAGTGCTGAGTCAACCTAAGCTGCTGCATGTGGCCACCACAGCGGACAAAACGCTTGAATCCACTGGCCCATACTTCATCAAACGATGAACCAAAAGCTGAAAATGAACATACGAAACCCACGCGTTGGACTTCACAAACCGCTCGAACTCGCACAAGCCCGTGCAACGTGGGTTGGTCCAGCAGGGCTCGTTGAGCGCGCTTGCCCTCGAGAGCGGGAAGCCAATGTGCTCCAGGAAGAACTCCTGGGCCCCCGGCGCAGAATGAGAAAGAAGAGGATGCTGGACGCGGGGAGGGAGAGGCGGAGCGGGAAACCACTGTGTTTGAAGGTCAAGCGCACCTGGTGCAAGAGGAATACAAAGATGGCGTCGAAGGGATATTCGAAAGGAGGGGGACGGGAGACTATATTGCATCATCGGGGGACCTTGCATGTCCCGTCGCGTCCCTATCCGCGTCGGATCCGTGTCGAACGCATGTCAGACTCGTCGAATCCAAATCAAATCCGTGTCGATTCCGCGACGGGATCCGCGCCATATCCGCGCCGAGTCCGCATCGATCCCGCGTCGGGCCCAAGAAGAGACATCACTTTGGGGGACAGGCGAGGCTCCACGAAGATGCAACGTAAGGGAGAGGAGGAGGCGGCGGACGAAGCGGCGGAGGGGGAATGAAGGACGGGGGAAGGGGGGCACGCAGGAGGATGGAAAGAAACGTGCGAGGGGGGCAGCAGGAGGATGAGGAACCAGGCAGTACGGCAGAAGCCCGACCACAAGAGACCTTCCACAAGACTGCCCAACCCTGGAACCCCAGGGCGTCCCTTGGCTTTGGGTGTGGGAGCGTCACACATTCCATGGCAAAACCATCGGAACCCAAGAGCACCCCGGAAGCAAGCAAGGTGTTTCCTGGCATGGGTTTCCACTGTACGGTAGGTTCGCGCTGTGCCGGCGCGCGTAAAGGTGTTTGACACCGCGCCTCCGATCGTTCAGCCTTGAACCGATCCCGGCCCCGATCGTGCAGGGTTGAATTCCGTCGGGTCCTGTGGTGTTACTGTGTTTCTCGGTGCTTTTCTGTCGTTCTATAGTGCGTAATTCAACCTTGAACGCCTAGGCCAGCGTCGGCGGCGCGCCATCGCCGCGCGAACCTACCGCAGATCAGGACGAGGGAACAAGAGCTAAGGGGGACGGGGCGTACGCGAGGAGGAGAATGCGCGAGGGCGAGCGAAGGGATGAAAGGGAGGACATTGGAGGATGGTAGAGGAAGGGCAATCTGAACGAGGAAACGAAGGATGACGAGGGGAGGGCGAGGACGAAGGACGGAAGGATGACGAAGGAGAATCCGCTGGCCCCCTTGCGGAGCCACCGGGCTGCGAGGCTCGGGCTTCAGCAGCAGATGCCAGCCCTGAACTCCTCGGCTCCAATCAGGTCCAGGGCGAGTTCTACTGTTCTGTCTCTCTGCTTCCCACCTCCTGCTGAGAGCTGTTGCTGATCCGCGCGAGGGTAGGGGAGACCGAAGTTCGCGCTAATTGCCGTAGGGCCTCCCGGATCAAGCACAAACGAATGAGACTCGCGCCCAGGAACCCTTCAGATTGCGATCCCTCGCAAATTACTCAAGTTCCGCGCCCCCGAGTCCACGATCCCTCAACACATGATTCAAGACTCACCGCGCCTCGAGGTGACGATCCCCTTGCAAATTGCGCCAGATCCGGGCACCCGAATCTGCGGGCCCTCGCGAATCATGCACTGCTCGCGCCCCCGAGGCGAGGATCCACTGCACAGAACCCTGGGTGAATTACGCCGCAGTGCGTCCCCGAAGCCACGGTCCGTCAGAAGTTTCGCTCGCCATGTTCGCGTCCCGGAGGCCGTGGACCCTTGCAAACCACACCAGGCTCGCGCCCCAGAAGCCACATTCCCCGCAAAAAGCGCCAGATTCTCGGGGCGACGCTGCCTTTCCAATTGTGCCAGACTCCCGAGGCCACGATGTCTTGCAAACGACGTCACGATCAACAACCGTCCTCGCAGGGAGATTCCCAGACTGGCTACATGCAAGAGAGTCACTTCGTGCGCGGCTCAACGGGGGACGCAGAGCTCCCAGGGTTCCCGCGTGCCCCCCGGTCTCCGAGAAATGGTGGCGCGTGATTGTTGCCAACCGTCCTGTGGTGCTGGGTCCTCGTTTTGAAGAGACAGTGCCCCGCGTCCCTCTCCTCTCCTCCTCCTCCCCCTTCTCCTCTCCCTCCCCCCTCCTCCCATCCGCCTCGTCACCTCCCTGCCTTTCGCCCACCCAGTACAGCGCCTGAGGAGGGGGAGGAGGAAAAGGAGGAGGAGGAGGAGAAGAAGGAGAAGGAGAGCACCTCCCCTCCCTGTGGCGGTGGTGGTGGAGGACAATAAGCCCATCGGCCGCTGCCCACGGCGGGTGGCCCCCCCACGCCGGGCGCGAGGCCTGCGAGCCCGCGAAGGTGTAGAAGGAGAGCCGCTCGCACAGCTCGACCTCGGCGGCACAGCCACCGCCAGAGGTCGGTGCCCTCCTCCTGCTTCTCCACACCTCCTGCTTCCTCCTCCTCCTCCTCCTCCTCCTCCTGC